CCCCCCCCCCCCCCCCCCCTCTCCCTGCTCCGGTGCACCCCTATCCCAGTTTCGTGGAAGGACAACCTGGAGGTAACCTGCCGTCGGCGAGCAAGAAGAAGATGCCCTCGACTGCCTTCTGAACGGTGTATACCACCTCAGCTCCGGGAACGCCGAGNGGCGAGCAAGAAGAAGATGTCCTCGACTACCTTCTGAACGGTGTATACCACCTCAGCTCCGGGAACGCCGAGGACCCCATCGAGTTGGAAGACGGCGACGACGATGTTGCGGACGGCGGGGGAGCGGCGGGCTAGCAGAACAACGGTGGTAAAGATGGGTAATCGCCTCCTGGGCAGCTCGAGGACGGCGGCGAGCCGGAGGAAAGCGAAGGTGATGAACCTGGGGTGGGGGGGATCAAGGAGGAGCCAGCCGTCGGCAACCAGGGCGACGGGGATGGCGCCCCCTCCGAAGATATCGAAGAAGTAGACGGCGAGTATCCTGACAGGGGCAACAAGTGGATGCACCCCTATCTCCTCACCTACTGCCTTATCGGAAGGGCAAGCAGCAGCGAGGACCCTGAGCTTCGGACCGCGCGGAAAACGTCCGGGCCGAAGCTCAGAAGGCGAAGAAAGGGTCGCCCACCACCAGCGACGGAAGCGGGTCGAGGACAAGCGGTGCGCACACCGAGGTAGATTTGTCGTCGAGCGCGATTCGGATGTTCGCAGGGGCCGGCAAAATTCAAAGCCGTGCGCAGGTGAAGAAAGAGTACGCAGCTGTGGCGGCGGCGAACGCGCAAGAGCAGGTGCGCCGCGTCCAGCAGGCCCACACAGGCAAGCAGGTGACGGCTGTGGAAGCTTTGTCGGCAGCCGTTGTGTCGAGGCAGGCTTTGGACGAAGATGCCGCCCATAGGGCTCGCTGGGATTACGCTCGCTTGGCCAAGCGACCTCAGGGGGAAGTTGGAGTTTACACTGGAAGGGCCAAGGGCGATGGCACTGCGAGCCTCTATATCGGCCTTGTATGACATGGATGACGCCGACTTCATGCTCAAACCCATCTCGGCCCCGACCCCACCCGCTGCAGGAGGTGCCCCCAGTACATCCGCGTCTGCATCGGTGACATCTGCAGCGGCACCGCCTGCCACTGCTCCTGGGTCACTGCCCTGCCTGCGTCCATTTCGACATCGCCTGCTGCTTCAACACCCGCGTCTGCGGTCGGGCTAGCGACCCTCCCTACGTCCGTGTCTTCATCGCCTGCTACGGCAACGCCCACTTCCAGTGTCCGAGACGTTGACCCCATCGTTCTGGTCGCAACACGGTCCAGGACAAGGTCTAATGCCCTCCCGGGATTTACCGGGGCGCGGAAGAGGGATGTTCGTCATGAGGGAAAAAATATATAGCATTGAAACGCCTTGAAGCAGTTCTCCCCGATGGATTGACAGGGCCTGAAGTATACGTTGGTCGTGTGGGCTGCATGCGGCACCGGCGGCGATAAAGGTGACCCCCCCGTCAGTTTTACCCCGCGGCGGCGGCGGGGGAGGCGGCCCGGGTGCAGGCAGTCGCGGATAAGCGGTACCATCGGTAGCAGCACCGGCGGCGCGAGGGGTGACCCCCCCGCGAAGGGTTTTCCTCGCGGCGACGGCACGGCAAATTCGGCGCGGTCATGTTTTCCCCGCGGCACTCGCGGACGGAGCGGCCGCACTGTTGATGGGTACAATATATGGCAACCACAACGAAAGAAATGATTTCGGGCGCAAGAAGGGATGATGAAATATCTCAGCCATGATTAGTGCAGGCTGGCCAAAATCTTCGACTTGGGCGCGGTAGGTATCAGAGGAACGAGTGTGTGTGTGCGTGTTTGATGTGGTGAGCGGTGTGTGAACGACGAACGGGTGTAGAGGGAGTTTAAGGCCCCACCAGGTGAAAGGATGAAACAAGGAAACACACCTCCCAAAAAAGAAACTCAACCATACGTCCCTGGATCCATTGGTTAGTCCATGTTCCTCGAATCATATTCCTCCTTTCAACATGTAGAACCTCCGATGGTTGGCTTAACGCGTGCGGTAGCCCAGTCCACCTTTCGTCGCCGCCGTCACGGTAACCGCTCCTGTCGTCGCCGTTCCCATCAACGGTGCCACCGGTCCGTCCGCGAGTGCGTGCATCCCGGCCGGTGGCCGCGGTGGGGAAAACGTGACCTCGCCGGCGGCCCCCCCTCTTACTGCCGCTCTATCTAGTCGCGAGTGCCTGCGCCCCGGTCGTCTGCCCCTCCGCCCCCGTGGAAACCCTGCCGCCGGGGTCACCCCTCCCGTCGCCGGTGCTGCTACCGATGGTACGGCTCTAGCCGCGAGAGCCTGCACCCCGGCCATCCCCCCGGCCATGCCCCCGGCCGGCGTCGCTGAGAAACCATGACCGCCGGGGGTCGCCTCTTTGCTGCTGGTACTTGCTGCTATCGATGCTGCCGCTCCCTCCTCGAGTGCCTGCGCCCTACGCGTCTCTCCCGCCGCTCCCGCCGCCGGGGGTCACCCCCCTTGCAGCCGGTGCCGCTGCAGCCAACACGACCAACTGCTTCGAGGAGTTTTCTTACGCGATTTTTTCGTGTTTACTTCTCTTGCATGTATCCAGGATAAAAATATACATGTAACTGCTGTGCCACGCTGTGCCGTGCCGGGGAAAAAAAACATGTACAAATGCAACAAAGTACTGCCGAATAAGAAGATTAATGGGAGTAATCGCCATTCCAACAACAGCAGCAGCAGCAGCAAGCAGCAGCAGCAAGCAACTACAAGTGCATTCGTGTCAGCTACCACATTACATTTGCACCTATTTCTGCATCAGTGCTGTTAGGTGCCGATCGTTTGGCGGTACTGCTGTTCTTGTACCAGTGGCAAGCGTGTTCCTCCGCCGTTGATGTGTGCAAACTGCATACAGGGGGAGCGGGTTAGAAGGTCGGTCGTGGAAGATCCGACACGCTTGAGCCCCCTTCCTCAATCAGCAAAAAAAGAAATGAACCATATGTGTATGTGTACCACACACATGATGACATACATACATGAGGAAGTTCTTTGCCCGCCTGAACGCCTTATTATGTTGTAGGCTAGCAACGCTGCTCGGTCCACCTTATACTTCGTACTTTTAATGCTGCTTTTACAGTCATACTCCCTCAAGAAGACCCGGAAAGAAAGGGGACGGACGCGGACGGAAAGCGGCCGACATGCAAGATGGAAAGCAAGTCAAATGCACACCACTGCAGGGGTAGCGATCGCGACGGCTGTTGAGACATGCCGTCCCGATGCACACTGCTAATTTCGAAGCAGCTACAATAATACACGACAATGACGCGCGTGTGAGATGAGCAAGGAAGAGAAACAAAAAGGCCCGCGATGCTTGTATGCCGGACATATGCAGACGTCGTGCGACGTCGTGCGAGAGCAACGATGATTGTTGCACGTTAGGGAACCGTACGGGCGCCCAACCCTAAAAGGCAGAGATACCGTATATCTCCAAGATGCCCGCTGTGGTGCATCACAACAGCAGCCTGAGGGATGCAAATCACCAAGAAGATGGAAAGCCCACTGACTCTGCCAGAAAGAACGGTATAAAAAGATGTGATGCACCGCACGGACCCTCTTTGGCTGTTCCAACTGCCCCGTTCGGGTAGCGACCCAGACAAGCCCGACTCCTTGTCGGCCACAGGAGGCGAAACTTCTTAACTCGGGCAGGGGTCATGATCTGCGACCCGAACCCGAACCAAACTCAAGACTCAGCGAAAGTTGCACGCCAGCTAGACATCAGCATTTCGGGTCGGGTCGGGCAAGGGGTGGCGGGGTCGAATGAAACTTTCACGGATTTTGGTCCAAGAAGCTGAACCGCCCCGCTTCCCTCCTGCGGTGCGTGCTCAGTTGGTGTTCTTTATCGCGGGAAGGGCCAGCCGTCCCTTCCCTTCGTCAGCGGTGCTATCGTCGAAGTTTGGTACTCACGACCTTATTTGTAAGTTTGGTACTCACGACTTTGCCACCAGCGGTTCGAGGTTATCACTAGAAGACCGGGACCATCGGTAGCAGCAGGAAGCCAATGGTAGTAGCAGCAATTTTCAACGGTATGGATGTATTGATGCGTACAACGGGACTGTCGGGACTGTTAGACTGAGACCATTTGAGATAATCGCGTACCTTCATGTAGAACACCGCTCTTTTATGGCAGGAAAACTTTGCTCGGGAACATTCGTCAATGAAACTTTTGATGCACTCTTTTTGTTGGACGAATAATTTTTGTGCGCGAAACTGGTGGAATGCGGAGGCATAGACTAGGTTAGTTCGATTTTTTTGCTACGGCGAGATTCAGGCACGCGCCTTTCATATCACACCGCGAAAATACCGGCCAGAGCGTGCGGGAGAAGGTTGGAGTTGCAACTTCCCCCCCCACAATCACGATACCTCAAGGCGTCTCACCTGGTACCAACTGTCGGGGATATGCATCACTGCTTGATACTTGCATATTACCAGTAGCATCATAAGTCACACAATACCCGCTGGGGTCGATTGCAGCAACACAAGAAGTCTCTGTGTGATGCGTATACGCAAATACACTTTGGCGTGTTCTACACATTACATGTAGCCTAGGGATGATAGGTTGACAGTGGATGACACTTGTCCTAGATACACAGCAGTGGTAATAGCTTGCATGTAGAAGTAGAGCAAGGAGACGAAGTACGTCACAGAGACTGTGGGGATATTCGCTATGAACAAGTGCATCAGAGAGATGCTCGAAATATTTGCGGTGAAACTTTTGGGCTGTCCGAAGGGTCCGAATAAGACCCCGAAAGAACAGTACAGCGAGTAGATCTCGGGGAAACCCCGTCTGAACGGTTTGTGTGATTTTGTTTTTTTGTATTCGAGATGAGACACAAGCGCGCTCTCGCCCTTGTGCTCACTCTACTCAAGCACCTTCAAAGCCTGACGTGGGAGTCAGTCAGTAATCAAACATCTTTCTTTGCTTCTTCGTTCCGAGGCACACATCAAATTGCATCCGCACTCGAAGTGTAACCTTTGTGTAGTAGGGTGCTGTATAACCACAGCCTACGAAGCGACCGCGGCACACATCACACACCCGCTGCTGCTGCTGCTGCTGAGACGCTTATCCCCGAGACCAGAAAGTTGCTGGGTAGAGCTACCTCCCTCGGGGTGGCATTGCTGTTGTTGCTGTCATCTCCTATGAAATGGTATCGCTGGAATCCCAAACCAAGAGCACACAATCCCCACTAACTTGGACCAATTGCTTTCAGACGTGGATATTTTGGGGTCAAACAAGAGTTTTTTCCCGACCATCACGATTCCCCAAGGCACCAAACCTTGGGCTTGAAAGTTGGAGCACAGAGCTGCCTCTCGCCGAGTAGTCTTGCTTTTGTTGTTGCTTCCTCCTTCGGAAACATCGGTGGATAACCAATCCCGTGGCGGTCAAAAACACCGAACTTGGACTAACCGCTGGCGGCCGTCTACGGTCGTCCAAAGCACAACCATTTTTTCGCGTGCGCGGGTGAGAGTGGAATGGCGTGGCAGCGCGTCATGTGTGGTGAGAACGCTCGGGTACCCGTATGTTAAGGTGAACAAGGCTCGTCAAAAATAGATATTTGTGTGGAGATGCTATTTGCTGCAAGAACCATCCGATAATGGCAAAAGACATTGAGAAGAAAAAACAAAATACAACCGCAAAGAATGGCTGAAATATCTACGCCGCGAGTAGTGCCGCAAAGGTTCGCTTAACGCTAACGCCCTGGCGAGTGGCGATGGAAGTCATGAATGGTGACACGCGGCAACTAATGAACAGTTCCCTGACTTCTAGATGTAAAATTGAAGAATGTGTGGCTTGACGTCGAGAACCAACGTCATTCCTATCGTTCATACGGCGGCTAGCAAAGTTACATGTGATCACAACAGCATTTTTGGGGTTCCGTTGGGTACCTGTGAAGAAATTTCGTGAAAAAAGCTGCGCAGGTCCGCTGAGCATCCGGCCTGCGTACAGCACACCGGCTCAAAGTAAACTTGCGTCATTGTTGGGTATGGCGCTCGTCGAAGCAAGTTGATGGTCGCAAAATGTAGCTGTTGTTGGCATTTCGCGCTAGAGCGGACAGGCGAGTTACGGCATATTGCGTGATGACCGCGGTCGGTGTCGTGCTGCGTTCACACGTAGGAGGGGAAAGTTCTCTCCGCTACAGGACCATTGCTCCAAACGATGTGTGTGCTGCGTCACGGCTTGACGGCCTTCCGTACCCGTTGTATGGTCGGAATAACCACATCCTGGAATTGTGTGGTGACCTACCTCCTGCAGATCCCGTTTATACAAGACGTGTTGAGGGTGTTGGCTACTGTTTACATTGCGGAGACACAGCAGTTCTCCCTGCTGCCAATCCTGTGCTCCTGTACTTCGGTGCTGGTGTGCACACGCGGGTGGCACGCATGTTTTCACGGATTGACCAGACCCAATAATCGCGAACCCCCCAACGCGCAACCTATTATGCAAACCCTAAACACACATGTGGACGTGCTCGAAATTAAGTGGACAATGATCTGCCTTGTACACACGCCACAATTGATATGTGTGTTTTGTACAGCGGCCTAAAACTAACCGTTGGTTCCCGCTCTGTGCACGGACGTACTACTGTAGTACCGCATGTCTAGAATGCCTCACCACGCTCATTCTACATCCGATCACTACCATTGCTCAAGTGTGACAGTACATGTTCCGTTGGTCAAGCGTTCTGGCGGTCAGCCCGAGGCTGTCGTATTCAGTCTCACACAAAGGTATGCAGCATGAGCAAGAAAAACAGAAGAAACGAAAAAAATCTCCACCTACTCTATTTGTAAGTAGTGCGATGAAATGAATCCTTCGAGTACACGCCAGGACGACGTCAGCGCTGCGTTAAGCCGGACGTGAGGCTCGCTGTGACTTCCTCCATGAAAATAGACATTTTGTTTTTGTGAAACAAACGTTCTGCCTGCAAACAGGGTGTCAAACGCGCCCGGGGAGAGACCATAATGTGACAAGTCTATAAATAACTGCTGTAGGGACGAAGAGTTTTTCCTTCCTAACGTTGTCACGCAATACTCGGTGAAACAGCAGTAGTCTATTCAACAATACTTGGAATCGTTTGCAACAACTCCCACATGTTAACGTTGTCGCCTTGTTTCGCAAGGAAACCAGAGCCAACCGCAGCAGTGCCTACCCACCATTTGTTTTCCTGGCAGTAAAGGCATGAATTGATGAGAAATGGAGAGTTTGTTGCACGCGAACCGTTTGCACAGCCGTATTGTAGACTGTTGAAGTAATTGCAGTACAAGAACGACTCTATTCTACTGGATTGCGAAGGCGTTGCCAAGTCTGTAACCGTCAGGTGAAGACAGCTTGGGCGTCTGTGTGGATAATAATGTCACTCTGTGTGTTTGCCTACCTAACCTCGCATCACATGCTACCTACTTTGTAGCCACAGCTGAAGGAATAGCTGTACAGCGACTGCAGTGACAGTGCTGTTGCCTAAACAGGTTTTGAGCCTCGAGTTGCTCGAGCTTGTACACCAGAGTCACCAGAGTCGGTAAGCATGGCTACCGGCTCGTCAGGCGAGATCCGAAGAGGATTCGCCAAGTTCAGTGGTGACCCAGGCGACTACGTCGGCTGGCGAACCCTGCAGACCTCCTTGTTTATGGAGGACAAGCTGCACAAGGTTCTGTTGGGAGTGGAGAAAGCCCCTTCGAATTNACACCAGAGTCACCAGAGTCGGTAAGCATGGCTACCGGCTCGTCAGGCGAATTCCGAACAGGATTCCCCAAGTTCAGTGACGACCCAGGCGACTACGTCGGCTGGCGAACCCTGCAGACCTCCTTGTTTATGGAGGACAAGCTGCACAAGGTTCTGTTGGGAGTGGAGAAAGCCCCTTCGGATCCCGGACCTAGTGCTACGCCGGACCAGACTTCGGCATACCAATCTGCCCTGGAAGGATACCAGGACAAAAACGGACACATCTTTACACGGCTGATGCTCGCCACATCTGAAACCGGGGGCTACCAGAGCGCGGCCTCGCAGACTGTGCAGGCATACGCGCCTATCGGGTCTTCCTACAACGGAGACGGTCGTGGAGCCTTCCTCGCCCTGAAACGAAAGTACCAGGCCGCTGGGGTATACCGTACACAGGACCTGCACGAGAAGTTCATATCTTTGGCAGTTACTGCGGACCACGACTTTTGACCCGGCCAATGTTGTTCAAGACATGCGCCGGATCTGCACGGAGCTCGCCGTGTATAACGACACTGTGGCTGACCACCGAAAGACGTTCGCTTTCCTAACAGGACTGCCGGACGACCACTGCAAAGAGTGAGACAGTTCGACAGACAGTTCGACAGGACTACTGTGCGGCCAAGCTGCTGGAAGCGTCTTGTCCTTCGAGGAAGTCGCCGACCGAGCCACTTCGTTCCACGCGATGCACATTCGTGGTAAAATTGCGTCGAAGAACGCGTCCGGAAGCAGCAGCCGTGCGCTGAATACCGTCACACACGGCGGCGCGCGTTCTCTCCGTAAGGGCGGCGGTCAACTGGTCGCGGACGCGCGCAGCGCGGTGGACGAAGACGTGGCACCTGGAACAACTCGTCGAACCGTAACAACGGGTCCACGAGGGGGAGTTCAGGCGACGGAGCTGGTGCGTCTTCCGACAACCGGTCCTCTGGACGGCCGAACCACAAGCAGCAAAAACGCGGGTACGACAGGGACGGCCTATGCAGTTACTGTCACAATTCTACGGAACACACCTGGACGAACTGCCCGCTTCGCGCCTCCAATGCCACGCGGTTTTCGGACCGTGAACAACAACCGCAGCAGCAGGTCCACACGACCGCGGAAGCCACGACACAGGCGTGGCTCAGCACGCACGCGCGGTAGACCTCACGTTGGAAGCATTCCACATCGCCATAGGCGATCCCGAGCAGGTGCCGTTTGCGCCTGCTGCATCGACCCCTCTGAGGAGGTGTCCGATGCAAAGGTGGGCAGGTGCTGGCTACGCCTGCCACAGCTTCGCTACAACTGGAGCGTGCTGTCCCATTGCAGGTGCCGATTGCGCCTGCCACAGCAGAGGAAACCGAGGAGCCTGCTGCCTCCTACGAGCAGGAAAAGGAACCGCCTGCCGCGATACAGTATGAGGAGCTAGTCGCGTACACCAACGTTTTCGTGCAGTGGACAAGACAGCGCCCGCCGGGAATACGAGGGTGTTCATCGACACCGCCGATTCGGGACATGGTAAGTGGCGAGAGCCCCGTCTCACAACATGTAGTAGACTTGGTTGACTGCGACGTCCGCATCAAGGGTTCGTGCGGCACAACCAGCGCCAAGAAAGGTACGCTGAAGTTCAAACTCAAGAATGATAAAGGTCAACCCGTCCTTGGAGGTTCTGCTTGTGGGGGACCAAACATATTTTTTGTCGGAGCGTTGGATGAGAAAGGGGTGAAGCCGGATCTACTTTCGGCACCTCCGGCCCTGCGAGGCCGGAACCTGTCTTTCCCCATATCAACAGCAGAGGTGCCTCGAATGTACGTCGTGAATCTCATCCTGGACGACCTGAATCTCGACCGTGCCGATACCGATACCGGAGGATGGGACATTGCAATGCGCGCGCCCTGAAGCAGTTCTCGGATAAGTTCACCACCAACATTCGACCAGGTGACTGCGAAGTGTGCGACGTATCTAAAAACAAGAAGGCGAGTCACCGCCCAGTTGGCCGCGCCCGTTCACCGACGCGAATGATGCTTATGCGTCTGAAACTGGGGATGAACATGGTGTGCCATCGTACAGCGGATGTCAGCATTTCGCAATGTTCACCGACGACAAATCTCGCATGCGGTGGGGCATCCCCCTCAAGACAAAGGATGAAGTGACGGTCGCGCTCGAAACCCTGATTAAAGAAGTCGCCGACGCCGAGGGCATCTGCATCGGGAAAATCCATTGCGATGGCGCAGTCGACTTCAAGGGTAGGTTCTTAGCAATGTGTCGGTCCATCGGGATTGCTGTGGAGACAAGCCCCCCGTACGTCCCTCAAGGGAATGCTGTCGCTGAACGCGGTTTCGGGACTGTCATCGGTGCAGCACGTAGCCTCATGCTTGGAGCTCCGCACCTGCCGCGTCAACTGTGGGCGGAAGCCGTGAAGGCCGCCATTTACTGACATCCTGGATGGCAAAGCCCCACTTGAGGTTTGGGAGGACAAACCACTCGGCAGCTTGAAGCACATGCATGAGTGGGGGTCTGTGGCGTTTAAACACGTAGAAGCTCGCTCGCGAAACGATGAGTTTTCTGCCATGGTAAAGAAGTACAACATGGTGGGATACAATACAACCAGCGAGACGTGGCGGCTATGGGACCCGGCGGAAACACTCAAAATTGCAAACTCTGCTGAGCTGTCATTCCGCGAGGTAGATGCCCGCGATNCGCACCTGCCGCGTCAACTGTGGGCGGAAGCCGTGAAGGCCGCCATTTACTGACATCCTGGATGGCAAAGCCCCACTTGAGGTTTGGGAGGACAAACCACTCGGCAGCTTGAAGCACATGCATGAGTGGGGGTCTGTGGCGTTTAAACACGTAGAAGCTCGCTCGCGAAACGATGAGTTTTCTGCCATGGTAAAGAAGTACAACATGGTGGGATACAATACAACCAGCGAGACGTGGCGGCTATGGGACCCGGCGGAAACACTCAAAATTGCAAACTCTGCTGAGCTGTCATTCCGCGAGGTAGATGCCCGCGATGTCGCTCGCCCCATGCACGGGTCTGACCCATTTCCCGAACAAGGCCAGATTTTCTAGCCTGGCAGTATCACGGGGCCGAGACAAGAGACGACAAACCAGAGCCGGCAGACACGAACGACGGGCCGGACGAAAAACCGCCCGCGGTGCGCAAAAGCGGTCGCACGACAAACCGCAGGACCGATTGAACCTGTTTACGACGGAGCAGGTGTTCGAAACAGAATACGCACTGGTGATCGGAGCTGATATCGGGAACCTTGGTCAACGGGTACCTGGCCAACTAGGGTACATGCCGGCCGATCCACCGAACTACCGCGCAGCGGTCAACGGACCGGAAGCCGTTGGATGGATGAAAAGCATGGGGGAGGAGAATCGCTCATTACTAGACCACGACGTTTATGAGTGGGTCGATCCCTCGCGCGATGCTTCAATCATCCCGTCAAAATACATCTACAAGTGGAAGTACAACGAGGCCGGCATCGCTGTGCGACTGTACTCGAGAATCGTAGCGCAAGGATTTCACGGAGCTGAGACCGGAACCGACAATGCTGCACCGGTAGCGTCTCTCCAAGCCGTCCATCTGATAGTTGCGCATGCTGCCAAGGATAGACTTGTTCTTCGCCAAGCCGACATCAGGACGGCGTTCCTCCACGCGAGGATGGAACCGGGATCGAAACCAGTGTACATCATTCCCCCGGGAGGATTCTCGTGCGAAAACGAGAGAGCCAGACAAGTCTGGAAGCTCAGAGCGTGGCTTTAGGGGTTGCGTTTTCCCCAAAAGGCTGGTGGGGCACTCTGCACGATTTTCTCCTGAGGATCGGATTTGCTGAGAGCACCGCTGAACCGTGCTTGTACATCCTGGACGACGGAGATGTGCTCCTTCTCGTTTATGTGGATGACATTCTGCTGACCAGCGAGGGCGAGAACAAAGTGCTGAGCATGGTAGATCAGCTTNGGCGTTCCTCCACGCGAGGATGGAACCGGGATCGAAACCAGTGTACGTCACTCCCCCGGAAGGATTCTCGTGCGACAACGAGAGAGCCAGACAAGTCTGGAAGCTCAGAGCGTGGCTTTACGGGTTGTGTTATTCCCCAACAGGCTGGTGGGGCACTCTGCACGATTTTCTCCTGAGGATCGGATTTGCTGAGAGCACCGCTGAACCGTGCTTGTACATCCTGGACGACGGAGATGTGCTCCTTCTCGTTTATGTGGATGACATTCTGCTGACCAGCGAGGGCGAGAACAAAGTGCTGAGCATGGTAGATCAGCTTAATGAGCGTTTCGAAACGGTGGACCTGGGAGGAGCCAGGTTCCTGCTCGGTATGGGAATCAACCGAGACAGAGCCGCAGGGACAATTCTTTTGGAACAGGAAGAGTATACCATCGCAGTGATGGACAAGTTCGGCATGGCCGACGCGCGTCCGACGACATCTTTGTCTGAGGCTGGACCGGTGTCCGTCTTGGAGGACGAGTGTTGTCAGCGGAGGATACCTTACATTTCCGCTCCGCCACAGGCTCGCTTTTATATCTCATCAGGTGCACAAGGCCCGACATTACCACTCCGTGATGGTTCTGACGCGGAGTATGGCGAAACCAGGTCCGAGGGCGATGCAGAAACTCAAACGCGTACTCAGGTACCTGAAAGGGACGATATCAATCGGTGTACGCTACGGCAAGGATGCCGAAGATGGAAACGTCATTGCTACGTTTGTCGACTCATATTTTGCAGGCGACCTAGACAAGGGCTACTCCACCACGGGAGTCGTCCTGTATTTCGCTGGTGGACCGGTGGAATGGACTTCATCCAAGCAAACGGTGGTGGCGACCTCTTCCGTTGAAGCAGAGTTCGTGGCTTTGTCGAAAGGTGCAACATCATCAAGTACTTCCGCCACCTGCTGGACACCATAAACCAGACTCAGGAAGAAGCAACCGTGGTGTGGGAGGACAACTCGGGAGCTCTGAAATTCGCTTGCAGCTTTTGTATCACCCCAAGGACTAAGCACATTGACGTAAGGTTTCACCACGTAAGGTCGCTGGTAGCTGATGGAGTCGTAGACGTGAAGCAAATATCGACGTCGCTTCAGAAAGCGGATGTTGTTACAAAAGGGCTCAACCCGTCGGAATTTCACCGCGCCCGTGGCATGCTGCTAGGAGTTTGATCACGTCCCCTCTTCGTAATCAGACTTTATGTCTTGAGGGTTGGATGGTGTATGTATGTGTATATGTTTAAAGATTATTCGGGAGATTTGTGTTGAAGGAAAACATTCACTGCTGATGCAACGCAGCTGAGTCAGAACATAACATTGTTTCGAGAGGACATGGATATTGTTTCGAGAGGACATTGAGAGAGAATTGGATCTGATGCATAGGTACAGTCTTTGAGAGGACATGTTGGAGTACTTGCAGTACAAGAACGACTCGTTTCTACTGGATGGGTTTATGCAGTATTGTGAAGGCGTTGCCAAGCCTGTAACCGTCAGGTGAAGACAGCTGGGGCGTCTGCGTGGATAATAGCATCCCTCTGTGTGTTTGCCTACCTAACCTCGCATCACATGCTAGCTACTTCGTAGCCACAGCTGAAGGAATAGCTGTACAGCGACTGCAGTTACAGTGCTGTTGCCTCAAGATAGACTCACCGCGTCGATCCCTCCAACATGTACAAAAATCTGCCGAAAAGGACTCCACGAAAGAAAGGAAGTATGCAGGCGTAACCTTCGTACGGAGGGCTAAACAGTCTGCTCATCGTTCATAAGGGTGTTGGGACCATACCTGAACTTAGGGTTTCGGATCTTTGTTGAATCTTGCTGTTGTTGCCGAGCCAGAGAAATGATCAGGAAGTGGTTGTGGGTGGGTGTGTATCGAAAATACTGCCTTAAAGGTGATTGTCACCAATGAAGAATTATTCAGGGGATATATGTTTGTGTTTCTTCATGCGTACCAATTGATGTGTTAGGCTACTTATTATGTGTCATTTTCGCCAGATTATTTTTGATCAATAATGATCTAGGTGTCACATCCGGCTTCTTATGTGTCATTTTTGCGCCTTTATTTATCGAAAAAAAAATGATCTGGGTTTCTGATCGCCCGAGTTGATCAGAAAACTTGGAAAAAATGATCTGGACAGATCATTTTTTTTGTTCATCATTTTTGCTATTTTTGAATTTGTGCCGCATATATGATATGCCAACGGGCGACACCAAGACGCACATCCCACAGACTCACATCCCCACAACAGCGCTATGCCAGCTCGGCTGCCATCACTGCTACTCCTACTGCTACTTGTGGTGGGTAGTCAGCGTGTTGCTTCATCGTCGTCTCCCGCCAGCAGCGTTCATCCCATCATGTCCGCAGCAGCAGAGGGCAGAGTCAAAGACCTCCATCCAGAAGTCGCGCTTGCGGCAGCGCTGGCTGCTCTGGATGACATCCAACAGGATGACATGCTGTCAGATGCCGAGGCCGAACCTGACGAGGAACCCCGGCGCGAGAAGCGCGGTCGAAAGAAGAGAAGGAAGAACGACACCAGCACGTGTGCTTGGGCGCAGGTGCTGGAGGATGAAGACCTAAAGGATCCTACAAGCATAGCGGCGAAGAAGTTTCGAGAGGACTTTCGCGTCCCCTACCCCTTTTTTCTGCGGCTTGTGGAGTTGGTGAAGAAGAAGGATTGGTTCGCCACCACGCAGCGCGACGCGTATGGGCGGCGATGCCACCCAGTGGAGCACAAAGTGAGCTTGACGAGGTTGATCACTCGTGGGTTGTGGCTTGTGTACAGCAGTAGTTTTACTGCACTAGCAGACTCGGGGTGCGTTGAATTGAAGGAGGCGATATTCCAAAATGGATGATACCAAAAAAGTAGCTGATCCTGCTGTAGCAGTATGTTTGTGTGTGAGAGAGAGAGAGAGAGCGAGAGAGAGAGGGAGCTGCTCTCTCTCTTATACTGCTGTTGATGAACCCGCACGTGCTCTCTCTCTCTCTACTGCTGTTGATGAACCTGTGCAGCAGCAACGACTCTTCTGTTCACTATACAGCAGTACCCGGTACTCCATACAGCAGTATTGGCTACATCTGTCTGGATCGCATTCTAGTGCTGTACAGCAGTACTGGAATATATTTTTCGTTTGTGTCACATGATGTGATATGATACAGCAGTCGCCTCTGTCGGCTATATCATACCTTGTACTCCGTAGTACATGCTATATCTGTCTAGATCGGATGTAGAGCTGTAGGCTACAGCAGTAGCTTTTGTATCACATGATATGATACAGCAGTCGCCTTTGTCGGCTACGTCATACCTGGTACTCCGTACAGCAACACAGGGGACATACTCGAATTTTGGATCCCTTTTTTGTTTGTATCATATGATATGATACAGCACCCGCCTCTGTCGGCTATATCATACCTGGTACCTGGAACTCCGTGCAGCAGTACATCTACATCTGTCTGGATCGCATTCTAGTGCTGTACAGCAGTAGCTCTTTCAGCCGCAGAAATATAAGTAGTATATACCGCAACAGGACAGTGTCTGGATCACACTAATGGAATATTTGTATCACAGCGGTGGCCCTGTTGGTTGTGTCATGCAACAGCAGGTGTTCTGTCTGGAACGCCTACTCCTTTGCCTGTTTTGTGCTACGCACGCGCGCCAGGGTAACAACGTTGCTAATTCGTCTGCACCCTGCCCCCCCCCCCCCCAATGAACACATGTTGCGAATGGTGCTGCCGTAGGTGCTGGCGTGTCTGACTATACTGGGCAGGGGGAATGTATTCGGAAGCATCTACAACCTTTCGTGGATGAGCACCCCGACAGTGCAGAAGGTGTTCCACCAGTTCTGCGAGCACTTCGCAACCGAGATGTACGACGAGCACATCTTCCTTCCCAGCGAGGAGAACGGCGAGCTGGATCGCGTCATGGGACAGTACGAGAAGCTGGGGTTCCCGGGCGCAATGGGTTCAACGGACGTCACCCATATCGGGTGGAGTAGGTGCCCGTACAACCAAGGACGTTCTTACACCGGTAAGGAAGGCAAGCCTACGGTCGGATACCAGGTGACGGTCAACCACGCTGGGCGTGTGCTGGCCGTGACAGAGGGGTTCACGGGGTCCACCAACGACAAGACCATCATCTGCTGTGATGAAGCGGTAGACAGAATACGGACCGACAAGCAGTACGCCGAAAAACCATTCACAGTCCACAAAAAGGATGGTACCACGGAAACCCTGAAGGGGTGCTACCTCATCGTCGACAATGGTTACCACAAGGTGAAAAAATGTAAAGTACCACACGAAATGTCGGGTTTTTTTTTCACGAGCACGCCTTGTTTGTCGGCCAACCTACACTATCATCCCGGTTGGTCGAGCTCCATGCCGTGGGTTTGACGTGCGACAATGAACGCGGTATGACACACAGAAGGTTAATATTCCCCCTTCACTCCTTTGGTTTGTTTCGGTCCTTTCATGCAGTGGCGGATGCTCATTGAACCCTCGAAGTACCCGTTGAGCGAGGCTGACTTGCTGTTCTCGAAGAGGCTGGAGAGCGTGCGCAAGGATGTGGAGTGTTTTTTCGGCATCCTGAAGATGCGCTTCAGAATCCTGAAGCTCGCCATGACCTACCAGAAGCAGGAGCGCCTCGACTACGTCTTCTTCACATGCTGTATCCTGCACAACATGCTCCATACGCATGACGGCATGGGCGGCCTGGAGGAGGACGTGAACTGGGTCGGCAGTGCCGAGCTCCAGAACACGTCGGGGCACAACCTGGACTCGAGCTCGGTCGGGACAAAGGACCTCAACGACAAGCCCCAGGTCGAGGCCGCCCATGCGGAGCTCAAGCGGAAGCTGACCACGAACTTCCTGTACCGCAAGAAGCACAAGAAGGACATTGTTTGGCTTTCCAGGAAGAGGCCTGAGATTTAACCGTAGAAATCTGTTGTTCGTTTCCCTCTCTTGGGATGCCGCTTTTCTATTTTTAATTAATTTCGTAAGGGTTACGCGCTGCCGCGTGTGTTGGTGTGCGACGTTTTGTGCCATGTAGTAGGGGAGGAAAGCGTCTACTGTACCAGTTCGTGTTTGGCAATGGCAGCGTCGAATACGAAGGAGACGCGGGTGAAATCTTTTTTTATGATCGTACCGTTCGTTAATTTTTTTTTGTTGTCCCATGGACGCAGAAAGACCAAAAATATAACAAAGACGAGCACTATAAGAGCTATCAGCTCTCAGGTTCGGTCAGGTAGTTTCTTCTTCACGTGTTGTGTGGTGCGGAGTCGCACCGAGTTGCTCTCTCTCGACGACGAGAGGGAGAAACGGCGAAACGAGTGAGTGAGAGTCATCAACGCAGTTGCCCTTTGGGAGACAGCTGTCCTGCGAGGAAGAACGTTCCGTGAACGTTCCGAGAACCCAAGGAACAGGATTGGCTCTGATCTGGAAGAATACCCCGTCGGATCTCCGGCGGGCCATTTGATGCATTCACAATCTACGGTCATTCCATGTGGCATTTACAGCACACACACAAACAAAAAAGAAGAACGAGCGGAGCAGTAGAAACGACAGGTGTTTACTCTGGTACCAACAGCATCGCATGCTCCACAAGCAAAGTGAAATTCAACAAAGACAAAAACACACAAGCACGGAAAAAAAAAAATGTGGTAGACCGGCATTCACTTTTTGGTGCAAGCGCCGTACAAAAAA